GTCTTAAAAATAAAATTACAAACGGAAACAAAAGGAATTAAATAATCTGAAAATCTACAAAGTTTATGAAGTTTATTGATAAAAAAGTTAGGCTATGCAAATTGATATATTAAGTATAACCTCTTTGGTATAACATTGTTAAACAAACATTAACAAATCATAACATATCAGATCATAGAACTAAAAAAAGTACTATTACATAAAAACAGGCGATACAATACTTCAAAATTAATTTTAACATAATATCAAAACCGAAAAATCAAACTGCAAACACAACCACACTATCACTTATCACAACAGAAATTAACACACACTTCCGCGGCAAATGTCCAAGAAAGACTGATCATTCTGATTGGTCCTGGTCCGGTCGTAGCTCACGTCGTATTGTCGGTAATCAAAATCCCTGTCCAAAAATCTTGACGATCAGCGCCATCACCCGTCATAATTGGGAAACTTTTGCTGGAACCATTTTGAATATTTCACTTACATGGCCCTGCGTGGAACACAATATCTGCCAAATGGCCACCACGACTTCTCTGGTAGCACACAATTCTTTTGTTGAAATTTTCTGTTACTGCTGAACACATTTCTGGAGTTATGTTACGAATTATTTGCTTATTATTTTCTTTCAGTTGTCTAATGGTTTGCGAATTGTTTTCGTAAGCTTTTCTTTTCACATAGCCCCAAATTAAAAAAAAACTATTTTTTGTTTAAATTTTGAGAACCACTGGATCTTTCCTGGATTTTCTTTTTTGCCAATTTAATCTACAACCTATGTTGCCTTATTAGGGGGAGAAAATTTCTATTGCAGTAGGTGTAAAACAGGGGTGTATACTTTCGCCGCTACTCTTTAACATCGTTCTGGATGTAGCACTAAATAGAGCATTTAAAGAACCACTAGGGATATAATGGGGACTGTTAAGCAGGCTAGAAGACCTGGACTATGCAGACGATCTATGCATCTTTTCCCATTCACATTCGGATATGTCTCCAAAACTTCTTAGACTCCAAGAGGAAGCTAATAATGTCGGTCTTTAAATCAACGTGGCGAAAACCAAAGAAATGAGGTCAAATACTCCCAACAACCAATGTCTATACATCTCCAACTGAGCCATCGAAAGAGTTGATGAATTTCAGTACCTGGGAAGTATGGTTCACAGCGATGGGGGCACAGAGAAAGATATAGAGGAAAGGATTTTGAAGGCACAAAGAGCTTTTGGCATGCTTACACCTGTGTGGAACTCCTCTATATATAGCAAAAAAACTAAAGTCCAGCTCTGCAATAGCAATGTCAAATCTATTTTGCTTTATGGATGCGAAACATGGAAGGTTACGCGTGGTCTCATGGATTGCCTACAGGTGTTTGTTAACAAGTGTCTTCGAAGAATATTGAGAATTTTCTGGCCCAATCAAATTAACAACGAAGAACTGTGGAGAAGAACATCACAAAATCGAAGAGATATCGAAATTAAGAAAAGAAAGTGGGGCTGGATTGGGCACATTTTGCGCAGACCCCACAGAGATATCGTTAGACAGGCACTTGAATGGAATCCACAGGGAAGACGTGCCAGGGGAAGACCAAGGAATACCTGGAGAAGAACAGTAACCTCTGAAGCCCAAGAGGTCGGGAAAACATGGGGAGAGATCAAACAGACAGCTCAGAATAGGATCAGATGGAAACATCTCTTAGAAGCCCTATGTCCCACGAAGGGTTGACGGGAACATATATTTTATTATATATTATGTTGCCATATATATAAAGATATCATGATTTTTGACGGAAAAGTATAAACGGGATTAATCATTCTAAAACAAGCAAAAATCTTTATGAAGAATGTATTTTTCTCAAAATGCTAATAATAAAAAAGTTTTTCCTCTTGTAAAGTCAATTCGTGGACATACTGTAGATTTAAAATTAACATTAATTTAATATAAAAATATAGGTGTATAGTACTACTGTAAACTACTCATGTAGAACTTTGTCGGATCTCTACATTTTTTGTTGAGTTAGGTATATCGTCAGTGAAACGTGATAACCTGCTAACTCCATTTTTTGCGTTAATAAGTTTTTTATACCATTAGAAAGAGAAAAAAATACTCTATAAGTAGAAAAAGCAAATACATTTTTTCCCATTAAAGAAAATTTGCAATTTTAACTCAATAATATCTGCTCAATAATTTTAACTCCCAGTGACCTGAAATAGCCACCGAAATGCTGCTAAGTCCATAATTTCTGTTACAATCGCGCTAAAGGAAACGCACGGATTCTTACTCGTATGTTTCTTTAGGACAGTACTTCGATTCAGGGTCGCACTAGGCCAAAGGGGCCCGGGTGGCAATGTAAGAAGGGGCCCGTGTGGATTTTTTTGCCTATTTTTTCGCCTTACGTTTTGGTCAATTTTTCCCTATTATATACAGGGTGAGTCTTAAATAAATGCAAATATTTTTAGGGGTAGTATATTTCCACCCAAGAAACACGATTATGAGATTTTTTGGGCGATTTTTTTTTCTTAAAAATTTGGAATTTTTTTAATTTTTAGTTTAAAAACATACTTTGTTTGTAATATGGCAACATAGGTAGTAAGAGTAGTAGAAAATCTAATGATTCTCAAAATTATAGCAAAAAATTGGAAATTTTAAAAGTGAAATAACTCGGTTGTTTTGGATTTATTTGAAAAAACGGTAAAGAGAAAATATTATGTTTCTTTTATCGGGATTTACCAGCCCTGAAAATATTTGCACTTATTTAAGACTCACCCTGTATAGAAATCAGGGAACTACCCTAATGCAAGGTAAACCAATGCAGTGCAAAAGCAAACATTGTTAAGAATAAATAATGAACAATAAAGGGGGGCCGCGAAGGCTGGGGCCCCCCTAATAGTTATGTACATATATAATATGGCCAGTCCGACCCTGCGTCGATCCGTGCTGTAAATACGTGGTATCCGTAAAGGGTAAGGGGAAAAACGAAATTCTCTATATACGAGCAATTTATCGGCGTGCTATAAATACTAAATAGTTTAAATGACCATTACTTACTTGTACAAGAATTTCCATAATACCTAATCAGTTTTATTTTTTTCAACGTTTTTCCACGTAAATGATACATAATTTTTATAAAAATTAAACAAATAAGGAGAAAAGTAATAAAAATTTAATAAAATCACGCACTGTTTTCCAAGCTCGGTCTATACTACCGTTGTATAAAAATTAGGATAAGCATGGAAGGATTCTACCATATCTTCTAAGAATTATAATTTTAATTTTTAAATTATTTTGATATTCATTAAGTCCAAAATGCTGCTACTTCAGATCTTTAAAAATGCATTAAAAATTTATTCGTTTTTGGACTTGTATATTTTGCTTCTAGACCGACGACATTATAAATATATGGTTATGAATATCATATTTTTTAAATTTAATTGATTATTTATAAATCGTTTGATAAAGAAATGTGTTTCTCACTAAGTCCCATAACGGGAATATTCTCAGAACTTTTTGCAATATTTAAGGCCATTCAACATATATTGACCTCCAGCTATAAGAGATGGGTCGTGGCTACCGATTCATTGAGTTCCATTTCAAGTATCTCCTCTTTCTACTCCAACCATCCACTAGTTATAGCAATCAAAATGATTCTACAGAAGGCAATATCAACCACTACAGCGTCACTTTCCTTTGGCTTCCGAGCCACGTAGGAATTCCTGGCAATGACAGAGCTGACTACTTGGCTGCAAAAACTCCCAACCCTCATAAAACCAACCTTGTTTTCTCCGTGCAAGATCTAAAGAATTATGGCAAACATATGATCGATAATATAATCCAACTAGAATGGGACTTAGACATGAATGATAATAAGCTTCATGAAATCAAAAGGGACTATTTTGAAAATAATGTAATTAGATTACCTAGAAGAGATTTCGTTGTGCTCACTAGAATTCGTTTAGGACACACGAAACTCCAAAACACCCATGAACACCTCCTTAAAGGACAGAATCAGCCCATTTGTGAAACATGTAATCTTCCTATATCTGTCAAACACATTATCTTTGAATGCCCAAAGAACGCGTTAAAACGAAGACAACACGGTATCGTGGATAACCCTGAGGTAGCCCTTTCCTACCAAAATAACAAGGCTATGTTGGATTATATAAAGGATATCGACATATATAAAAATATATAAATAATGGGATAAAGTGACGCTAAAAGACTCTACAGTCGATGCGTCTTTAACACATATCTCTCTCTCTCTCTCTAAATCTGTTTGGGTAATATTCAATTCCATTTTTAAAATTTCAAACAATAAAGGTTGCTATCTCCAGAAGTAATTTTTATTTCTTATTTCTGAAAGACGAATATCTGGTATCTCCCTATTGTGTCTGAAAAAAATGATGTAACACGAAATATTGAGTTATATTGTTTCCCAGCAAATAAAATTCTTACCTCTTTATCATATTAACGCAGGAAAATACTTCCTACATGTGTACATATTTTTTTGTACCGTTTTTTTTGCTCTCCTGTAAAATTAGGAATAATGGAGTTAGCAGTTTATCACATTTCACCGACGATATGTGAAAGAGGGCCTTAGTTAATTTTTAACTTAGCCTTTTAATATTTTACCAACCAAACCAAACCAAACAAATTTGTTATCCGTGTACTAATATGACTCGCATGATTTTTAGTGAAAATTTATAATAATTGTGCAAGTAAAAAGCTGTTCAATTATCGAGTTCTTTAAATTCATCCGTTTATTCTTAAATAAACAAGTTGTTTATTATAATAATTTGCAAAATGTAGCGTTGTATTTTGTCTTGGCTTCATGCAGGTCCTTGACAGAAGGTTATAAGTTATCCCTTTGTTAATAAATTCTTTATTTACATCTTACATCTTTGTTTTTAAAGCCTTGTCTACACATAACGTACACAGAACAGGCCGTTTTTTTAAAATAAGGTTTGCTCTTAAAACACTATTTAGTTATACATGACATTTATTTGTTTCAGGAATAAAATGTCCGGTATGCAGCAAATTTGTCGTTCCAGATGATATCGAATGTCACCTTGTCATGTGCCTCACCAAACCACGCCTTTCCTACAACGGTAAGTACAAATATGAAAACAGATTTCGAAATATACATACCTACTGTAAAAAAATTTCTTAAAACAGCTTCTCAGAAATTTTTATTGTTATTTTTAGTGGCAGAGATATTCTAGAGGAACGTGGTTATGATTTTTTACAAAGTTACTAATTTATTCAAAAAATTTAAATAAATCTATTACTAGCGCAGGGCCTAACATCAGATATTTTGCTCCTATATAGATCCAACGAGTCAGGGCAGATTTTGACATGTGACATCCAAAAAATGACAGAAATCAAAATTTACCTCATAGGGTACGAACATAGTGGAGGCAGGTTTCTGCTTTCCGGCAACCAGCGCAGTCTCTGGGGACCTATTTTTGACCACTCGCATCTTCAAATATCGCTCGCATCTCGCATCTCCTAAAAAGCCATATAACAATACACAGATGCGTAACTTTGCGTATATGCATCAAGTGTATTGTATATGGCTATTTCGGAGATGCGAGAAGGATTCGGAAGTAGATAATTAAGAGGAAATTTACCTGATTAACTAACCTAACCTAACCAAACCATATTCAAACGCCGCGCCCGCCTCGCCGGGGCCGCACATAGGTCTATTTGGTCTATAAACCTGGCCAAAAATGATATTTTTTTATTTTTATTTTTTATCTTAACTGAACACAAATCTATAAATATTAAATGTAAGCACGTTTATTAGTTATTAGCTTTTTTAAGTCGTAAGTTGACTATCAGATAACTAATATATTTCAGTTAAAAGTATGAATTATCTTGAGTGTATTCTGAATATTTCTAAGATTATAAAAATAGTGGAATTGTTTGTAGTGCTTTTTTTGCAAATTGTTCATAATAACTGTCATGATGGATACAGAGCCAGCTTTGTTTGTTGGCTCTGTTCTGTTTTATGCCATATTTTTATTTTGAAACGTTTCCTTCTATTCTATTTTTTTATAATGTTTTATATTTAAAAAATCAGTGGCATTTTTATAAGGTGTAAGACTATTCGGCAATATTCCGCATGGAAATTAGTATCCGTTCAATGCTTAAAGTCTCCAGCATTGGAATATGCACAAAAATCTTGCCAATATTTGCCACTGCCAAAAAAAACATTGATTTAAATAGATTCTTAAAGGAAATAGTCTTTACCCTATTAACACCCATCCTCGCTCAAATATCGTCTATAATATACAAATTACTTTCTTGTTCTAGCATCCTCATCCAATTGCTTGGTTTTGCACAGAATGGCCCTATTTGATCGGTGGAAAGGGTTTCAGAGTAGAGGAAAAAATATTGTGTAGGAAAAACAAAATGGGGTTCCATATTAGCAACCTCTCCTCTAATTAATAATTAATATTACTAGCAAAAAAGCAAAAAAATCATAAAACATAATTTTGGCCAACTTTTAGTTCTTAATACCCCCTGTGCGCCGTCGGCGCGTGCAAAAGCAGAAATAAATAAATTTTCGTTCCGGTAAAAGCGAGAACGCCGATGAACGCTGGTTGACGGTGCCTGCCTGCTTTCACTGTGAACTAGCCGATTTGATAACACGCTTTAATTTTTCAAGGTTATAAGCGCGAGGCGGCGCGGCGCGGCGCTACTATGTAACCATATACAGGGTGTCCCAGAAATAAGTGCAAGTATTTTAACTTAACTGGTAGTATAGTTCAACCCCAGAAACACGCTATGAGGTTTTTTTCTAAATATTTTTTTTTTGAAAATTCGGATTTTTTGAAAATATTTTTGGAATTTTTTTTGCAATTTTTTAGTTTTTATAAAAAAAATAATTTCTTGATAATATGGCAACATAGGTAGTAGATTAAATTTACAAGAAAGAAAATCCAGAAAAGATCCAGTGGTTCTCAAACAAATCTCGAAGTATTGGAAAGAATGTGTAAGGACCAAGAACTATTGACTACAATAAAACGACGCAAAGCAGCATATTTTGGTCATATTTTTCGAAATAACAAATATTGTTTCCTACAGCTGATCGTTGAGGGAAAGATTGAAGGATGACGAGGCATCGGGCGTAAACGGTTTTCCTGGTTGTGGAATTTGCGCCAGTGGTTTAATATAGGAGAGGCCAGTGCAATTATCCGTTTGGTTCAAGACAGGGAGGAATTCCAATTGATGGTCGCCAACCTCCGATGAGGAGAAGGCACATGAAGAATAAGGTTCTCAAAATTTTAGCAAAAAATATTTTTTTTTGGAAATTTTCAAAGTAAAATAACTCCATTATTTTGGACTTATTTGAAAAACGATAAAGAGAAAATATGTTTCTTTTATCGCGATCTACCACCCTTTAAAATACTTGCACTTATTTCTGGGATACCTTGTTTATAACAATACACGTGATGCGTATACGCAAAGTTGCGAACGATGTCAAGAATAGGTGCCCAGATTGGCAAACCTGCTTGCACTGTGTTCGCACACATAGATACAAGTAACAAGTTTAGATTGGAAAGTCCTATAAGGACAATGTAAATACTATTTGGCGTTATTCTTTAGAATAGAATTAGCGCCCTACAACGTATCGCTCCAAAACAATTATAAGTTTATATATTATTATATAAGTTTTGGCGACAAGCCGAGCATTCCAATCTAAACTTGTTTGCTTTATCTATGATTTTCCTTTTAATTGAAATCACAGACTGTTAAGTAGACTGTTAGTTTTTGCTTTAAATTGAATTAACAATTACATTAATTTTATTAATTTTTATTTTAAATTAAAGCAAAAACTAACAGCAAAGTCAAATTTCACGTAAATCAGTTAATGAAAGATCCATATTATTGGGACTTCATCTCTGGCCATGTGTATTAATTTATTACACTTAATGAAGTATACAATAAATTAAATGTATACTTATTTATTGTATTGCAGTAGAATAGTAAATTAAAATTAATAATTTATTTTTGCAGAAGACGTTTTGACAGATGATAAGGGCGAGTGCGTCATCTGTCTGGAAGAGCTTAACCAAGGTGACGTCATAGCCAGGTTGCCGTGTCTCTGTATATATCATAAAACGTAAGACAATTTTATTTACTAATAATATCATTTTTTCTCTTTGTTTTGCTAAGAAAAAACTACACGTGGTGTGGAAAAATACAGATAATACTTAAGAATTTTGTTATTGGCAATAAAAAAAACTTAAGGTTGATTGATGATTTGATAAAATAATGATATGTGTTGATCGTTTAATATATAGTTTTATTTTTTTCCAATACTAGTTTACTATTTCTCCCTGTTGAAACTTAAATGTCTTGTTGCTTAAAATTATGAGGCACATTAGTCTTGAATATTATTATTTAAAATAATACCGCGTATTACCTAAATTTTCAAAAACTTGCACAATAAGTACAATTCTCTGTAATAAATTAAATTATCATATTCTCCTTAATTTGTCTTTTTACATCTATGATTTAATTATATGTATGTAGGCACATGAAACTCTAAACGTAGTCCTATTTACTTTACTGTTTCTTAGTAGTACGTCATATATTTATTACTATTATAGATACAGTTAGTTGTAGACCTAGTATGTCTCATGAATAACTGATGATATTAAAGACAAATAAAAATTAAATCTTCGTGGAAATGATGATTGAGTACTACTCCTAAATGTATTTTTAATTATTTCGAGAAATCATTTTGATACATTTATGTAATTGACCATAAAACTAAATTTACCTTCGTTAAAAAAAATAATGGTTAGTTTTTCGTGTGATATAAGCTTGGTGCATTCTCCGCCGGTGCTGGCACCATCGGAGAATATCCTAAACAATCGGTATATACAGGGTTGTTCACCACATACCACACGAATTATTGTAGCTAAACGACTAGATTTTTACAAATTGTAAGTTTTGGATTCGTTGAAGGACTATTAGAGCTACAATTTAAAAATATTTTTACAAAATATAGAGTGTCCCAAATAAATAAAAATATCAAAGTTGTATTTTTTTAAATGGAACACCCTATATATTATTACATTTTTAGTTTCTACGCTTAAAATAAAGGTAAATTTGATTAAGGTTTATTACACTTAAACCTTACCGTTTTTGAAATATTTTCAATTTTTTGAAATTGCAGTATAAATTTTAAGGCTTCATTTCTCCGAGGGTATCAAAGTTTTTATTACTAAATATTTACTGAAGTTTATTTATTGATCAGTTATTGTGTTGCAATAATAAAAACTTTACTACCTTATACAGAGTGTCTAAAATTAATTTTAAATAATTACTAGCTTTAAACGGCAATAATTTGTTTAATTTAAATGGAACACCCTGTATATTTTATGAGAATCAGATGCACAATTTAATTGTCTATCAAATTGTATTATACCATTTTCTACCTATCTCTTCAAGTTTCCGTAGAAAATGCATTTTCTTGTAATTTAGAACTCATTTATCAATATACCCATGGAATACTGACATTTTAGATTATTTTTAAAGGTATAACAAATTTTCAAATAGTACAAATACTAATATTGTCGATATAGTTCGCTTACTTCTTAAAAAAATTGTTTAAATATTTATAAAAGAGGACCAATTAATATGATTCCAGTATTTAAACTACATTAATTGACTGTTTGCGTTGATTAATAATAATTGCTCCAAATACTAAAAAGCTGAATTATGTATGTGTATTAGACAGTGTGGTAAAAAGTAACACCTTAAAAATGATATTTAATTTTTCGACAACTGCCTATTTATAACAACAGAGACGTTCATTTTCATAACTTATTATTATATTGATTTCTGATTCAAATCCACATTTATTTAGAATAATTTATTAACGAACACAATTAAGTATGTAGTTAATTAGTATTTGGGCGGAAATACTGGTGGTATATTTAATTAATGGTATACTTTTTATAAAGTTTTAAATAGTTTTCTTTTTGCATACAAATGGGCTAGTAATATTATCGTTTTACTAAAAACGATAATATTACTAGCCTGTACATTTTGTACATTTGTTGTTTTAAAAACAATCTAAAATGTCAATATTCCATGGGTATATTGATAAATGAGGTCTAAATTATAAGAAAATGCATTTTCTACGAAAACTTGAAAGAATAGGTAAGAAGTGGAATACAATTTGATAGACAATTAAATTGTGCATCTGATTCTCATAAAATATACAGGGTGTTCTATTTAATGTAAATAAGTTATTGCCGTTTAAAGCTAGTAATTATTTAAAATAAAATTTTAGACACTCTGTATAAGGTAGTATAATTTTTATTATTGCAACACAATAACTGATCGATAAATAAACTTCAGTAAATATTTAGTATTAAAAACTTTGATATCCTCGGAGAAATGAAGCCTTAAAATTTATACTGCAATTTCGCAAAATTGAAAATATTTCAAAAACGGTAAGGTTTAAGTGTAATAAACCTTAATCAGATTTACCTTTATTTTAATCGTAGAAACTAAAAATGCAATAATATACAGGGTGTTCCATTTAAAAAAATACAACTTTGATATTTTTTATTTATTTGGGACACTCTGTATCTTGTAAAAATATTTTTAAATTGTAGCTCTAATAGTCCTTCAACAAACCCAAAACTTACAATTTGTAAAAATCTAATCGTTTAGCTACAATACTCCGTGTCGTATGTGGTGAACAACCATGTATATACAGGGTGGCGCCTCTCATACGCCGCGGAAGATCCAAGAAGAACGGTAGTTTATATCGAAATGAAATTTTGGCAGCATATGTAGATTAGCTGAAACCATTTTATAAAAATATATAGAATTATACAGGGTGTCCCCAAAAAAAGTTACACATCAAAGTTGTGTTTTTTCTAATGGAACACCATATATATATTAATTGATTTTCGGATTCTGAGAAAAAAATAAAGGTGAGTTTTATAAAAGAAGCATATACCTAAAATCTAAGGATTTTAAATTTCGGTAATAGCTACCTAAATTTTAGTTAACCTTGTATAGCCTAATAATTTCAGTAACCATGGTATGTTAAACCAAATTCAAATTTGACTCGAAAAGTTATACAGGGTGAGACAAAATTAATATGGAACATTAGTCACTTTTAAAAACAAGTTACTCCTTTATTTTAAATGGAACACCTAGTATATTTTTCCGGTGTTCAATGGGGAATTTATATATATACGTATATTCAAAATATTATTAAGGTTGCCTACCCCTCAGACAGATTTTCCCTGATATTTTAATTTTTATGATTTTGCGTCAGTAAATCTTTATTGTTTGAAAAAATCTAGGTGGCGATGTGATATACCTTTTGTTAATTAAACAAAAATTAAAGATTGTAGAGTAAAATACTTCAAATCTAATGAAAAGATACACGTTTAAAACATATTTTAATTATTACAGAATTAAAACTAGATATAAACCTAAATTATGTGACAAAAATTAGCTAGATGAAATCAAATGCTCAAAATGCTTCCTTTCCTGTTAACTGCATAAAACGATTGTCTTTTCAAAAGGATCTTTTCATTTTAAAAGGCATATGTGGAGTTCTACCTCAAAAACAGCTACAATAATTTTTTTCATGTTGTCGACACTAGTTGGTCGAGTTTTGTAAACACTGTCTTTAACATATCCCCATAAAAATACCCAGACTAGATAACAGTGGCGTGCAGTACCATTTACAGTAGGGTAGGCAACAGAATCAAAAATATCAAAAAACTAAAAAAACGTATGTATTACATAGTGTATGTATAGTAAACGCCACGCGAATGTTTGGGAGTGATTCATCGCTTGATGAAGTTAGAACCGACACGGGCGCTATCATTTTTACATTAAAAACGTAAATTTTTACCGCAGACGTAGGTTTTTAAAGGCCCGGTCTAATCATCTACCTGCGCTCCTCCTACTTATTGTGCGTCAGTCCATTGGTGTGCTTGCAGTGCGACCAATGGGGCATTCCAGTTTATATTTATAACCAAATATATGTTTTGACAAGACTTTGACAGCTAAAACAACAGATTATATATTGATTATTATATGGCTTGAAACACCACGGCACTGGAATTAAGTTTTATGTGACCTTGAACAGATTAGTTCACATGGTAGCGACCGATGAATCACTCCCAAACATTCGTGGCGTTTACTTTACAATGTACGTATATAAAATTTACTGACTAACGTATTTTAACTTTAAACTCAAACAAAAGAAAATTCAAATTTCAGAAAATAAATTTAATTATTTATAGATTAAGGGACTCTCTTTCCTTGTCTAGGGTATCGTGAGTTTTAGTGTCGGCTCTGGCGAATTAGCTAAAACAATAACCGTACACAATATTGCCAGATTACCAATTGCCACTGCCTAATAGATTTTATGTGCCAAAATGATTTTACAGTCAAATAAAATAATAAATGACATCGTTTGGAAACAAATATAGATGACAGACAAGCAAATTTCTAATTTGCTGCATAATACAAATCTTTCTAAAACACAGTTATTTAAAATTGATCGTATAAAATAACATGGACTGTTTCTTACATAATTCTGTAATAACATCGGAACTGGCAATACCGCATCGGCGACATCGAGACATCGGGTGCATCCGTGCTGCGGTAACGCACTGCTTTTGCTTGTCCATATCCATGCAATGTTAAGTGGCGGCCGTGCGTTCGATTTCGAATAATGGGATGCGTTTTTTAGGTAATAATAAGACGTTGAACAGGTGTCGTTTGTTTTGTATGATGTTTCCGGCTTTGCAACCGTAATAAACACAATTCTAACTTACTATTTAGAAAAATAAAACAATGTAGGTCGCATTGTAGGATTTGTAGGTAGATATATAATGAAAATTGATCAGATAAATATATTTTTATTTTGCGTCTGTCTTGAATAAATAGAAGGGTAGGCAATGCTTTTTTGCCTATATGTAATGCACGCCACTGCTAGATAAGATCAGGAGCATTTAAGTGTTCTATTAATTGGTGAATGCACACTGCAACTAATAGAATCATATCAATTCTCTCTGATGTAGGATAAGTTTACATTTTCGGCAAATTTCTGAGAAATTTTTTTGTTTTAACTGACACAAAATGATAACTAGTTGTTAAAGTTGGACTAATTAGACAGCTATGTTGAAGTAACGTCAGACATATTATCACAGTCATCTAGATTTTATCAAATATTAAAGATCCACTGCCACTAAATCATAAAAATGACATTGAATTCCCCATTGAATATCGGAATAATGTACTGGGTGTTCCTTTTAAAATAAAAGAGTAACTTGCTCTTATAGGTGACCAATGTTCAATATTAATTTTGTCTCACCCTGTATAACTTTTTGGATCAAGTTTTAATTTGATTTAAAGTACAGTAGTTAATTTAACGACATATTAGGCTATATCGGGTAAATTCCTATTTAAGTAGTTTTTATTGGAATTTATAAATTATTGTTCTATATTTTTAGAAAATGTTAAATATGTCAAAAACCTTACATTTTCGTCATACTTGTCTTATAAAACTCACCTTTATTTTTCTCCAAGAATCCGAAAATCAATATATAGAGTGTTCCATTACAAAAAACACAACTTTGATATGCAATTCTTTTTGGGGACACCCTGCAGAACTCTCTATATTTTTAAAAAGTGCTCTGAATTAATATACATAGGCTCACAAAATTTAATTTCAATACAAACTGTCGTTCTCCTTGGAGCCTCCGCGGTGTATGAGAGACGCCACCCTGTACAGTAGAAAATGTAAAATTTTCTACTTACCCAATCCTGGAAATGCACCAAGCCTATCTTGAGTTTATAAGATATTTTACAAAGTAATTCGATAAATAAATTGTCTCATGTGTAAATAGAATAATGATTTAGAATGAATAAACGCTAAATAATGTTCTTTTTTCTTTTACAGATGTATAGATCAATGGTTCGAAGTGAACAGGTCGTGTCCCGAACATCCAGGCGACTAGCAATAAACCTGGCCGCTGTCCAGTTTGATATTCATTTCTAATTGTTCGTTTAATTTCTGAAGTTTTTGTACATACTGTGTATATTAGTAGATAATATGGACTAATAACCTAAATGGAATAGACTGAACATGTATATTATGCGAGAGGGAGAGACGACATTTTTTCTAAAAACAAACCCAGCTGCCCTTACCTCGAAGAAGAAGGTGCGACAGCTTGGAAATCCGTGTTGTATTAGATACAGTACAGCATATCAGTGAAAAATACGGACTCTTTGATGCGATCATTAATCTACTGGGTGTTCCTTAGCTTTTTTACCAGTGTTTTTTCGGAGAGGATGGATTTTAAGGCAGCAAATGCGCGGTGGAAGTTTTATTGTAGTTTCTAAGGCTGAACGCACACAGAAATACCAAAACTGTCTTGGTCAAATACTTTTTTGTCTCGGGGTATAAAACAAACTCGAGAACATACTGCTGGCGGTATGGACAAAGAAAACAGGCGGTTTTACTACATTTATTAAAATGAATACCATGAGCCATGACCAATTTTTCAAGTACGGCGGTTGTTGCTGATTATATAAATACCGGCGGTATAATTTTAGAAAAAAACAGATATACCGCCGTTCAGCGGTATATTTTTTAGAAAAACAAATACCCGCCCCCATTCTAGCAATCAAAACATGCTAGTAAGAAGCGAGTTTTGATTGTTTTGGTTTTACTTTTGTTTTTTTATGTTGATTGGTTGCTTTGAATGTTTTGATTTTAAAATTGAATGTTTTACAATTATTAAATATCAACGACAGCTAAGCTAGGTTATCTTATCATTTCGGCGGTATTTGATTTTAAAAAACCTGCCTTTAGGCGTACGAGGTTAAGTGCATACCGCCGTCAACTAACAATTGATTCAGTTTTTCACCGGAATTTATAGATATAGAAGTATACCGCCGGATGACTGTATTTTTTGTATATGTTACAGTGAAAGTCGGAAATTCAGTGATTGTTAACATTCACTAGGAAATGCTACCAATTAGCATTGGACCAGTGAATGTGGGATTTTAAAAAGTTTTGTCGACTTTTCCTAGTAATTTATAACATTCGCTATAGTGAAAGTAACATTTACTAAAGGTTGCCGTAAAAGTTATTCTGTTATACAGGGCGAGTATGGTGAGGACGAATGTTGGTGGAAGTTAGAACAAATAAGAATATTAGATCACCTCAATATTCAAGCTGATCCACATATCTTAATATTACAATTTACTTCTTTAGTATATTATTAAAAATTACAGAAAATAATGACATATACCTTCTAAATATTAAAAGGGAAAGTATTGTAAACATTTTAAAGTGTACAAAACAATTAAAAAAAAAAACATTTGAAAACAAGATTACTTATTGGTACAAGGTTTTTTTAATAAAGTTCTTCATGGTGGTCAAAATAAAGTATGTCCGAATTTTCTTCAACGGGAGTTATTCGTTTTTTCAAACCCGCTACTTCAAGCATATCAAAACGTTTAATAAGTTCATAGTCACTTAAAATATATTTTTCTCTTGCATGCTTAACTTTTGCTATGACTTCATTATATTGCAAAAATGAAAAACAAGCACTATTACATTCTTGCGAGTGCCTAGTTTACCTTAATTTTTCACAGAAAATTTCTTCCATAGGGAAAATACCGTACATCACTTTTTATAACGATAACAAAACAATTATACATAACACAAAAAAAACAGCAAATTTACGCCAGATGTCTGCCAACGCTGCCAATGTTTAGCCCAATTTAATGTTATCCTTATATTACCTATTATTCAACTTATCCTTATTTATCCTTGTATTTTACAACATGTGGCCACCGCGCTAACTGAATCTTTCAAACTCACCGCTATCGTCCAGGGAATGCTAGAATTCACTAGTAAATGTTGGTTTCAAAAATAGCTGTTGAACTTTTACTGGTGTAGTCTTAGCAAATCAGTGAATGTGAGTTTTTACTAATAATTGTTAACAATCACTGATTTCCAACATTTACTGTAACATATACACTAACAATACCGCCGGCAGTTGTTTAGCCAGTGTGTTTATAAAAACGTTTCGAAGAGAAACAAAATGTTTTATTCACAATTAAATATGCACGGCAGCAGATACAGATGCGATTACGACTAAAGATGTTTTAACATAAAATGACGATCAATAGATCGTCGTCGATCAGTTTTACTGTGACTAAACGAGCCTAAATCTGTTTTAAATCTTTCGACTGATCAGTGTGCGTTGGCTCATTTAATTTGCATTGATACATCACATGAAATCAGTTTTATTTTGAGTAAGACTGTTTTGTTCTTTCTCTGTGCGTCCAGCTAAACAGCATCGTCATATCTTCTTTTCTTTTAAGTTTTTCTGTTTATAAGGTTTAACTTGTAAGACGTTTTGCCATAATAAGGAACAGATTGTCATTTTGTTAGTTTAAGATTTTCTGAAATGCAGAGCAAGGCTTGTAATATATATTTTTAGTATGCGACGTTCAGTTTTATGTACAGGGTTTTTCATGCAACTGGTTCATTAAAAACCAAATTTGAATATTTCAAGTTATTTTCTGGTTTCTATCTCTCTTTTTTTCTTTTTAAATTATTTTCTATTTTGTAACATTTTCATTTTAACCGGGAATCGGCTGTCAATTTGCTTATTTTAAGTAAAGTCTGTCCAAGGAGTCAGGCAAGATTTCGACAGACAACTTCCAAGAAATAACAGAAAATACAATTTACGTGTGCATTAAAACGACATAACTGTCATATATAGAAGGAACACATTTTCTGTATAATGCATAACTAAATGTAGCCGTTTTTGAAATAATACTAATTTTATGTGATAATATATATATTTTTATTTTTTTTAATACTGATAAAAATGTCACAATGGAATTAATCTTCACTTAAAAGTTTAATGAACCATTTGCTTGAAAAATCCTCTATATTCGTTGGAGTTCCTAAGACACAAAGATGTATCGTGATTTTGGAGGTATTTTTTGTTTATGTAAGTAGGTGAATAATGACTTGATCTCAGAATTGAATATTATATGATCCCATTCTTTGAATCTTTGCTCACGAAGTTTTCCTTAATTTAAAGTATATAATGGTTTTAAAGAAAAAACTATTTTTTTAAAGAATGGTTCACAAATTTGAATTTAATCGGACTGGTAACGTTAATTTAATGACAATATTTGTAATAATAAAGTTCTTCCAAAATTGAGAATATTCATATATGCCATTTGACGTCAATCACACTAAAACAACACATGCGGTTCGTGAAGGAAGACGATTGCGTCAGAATATTCTTATTAAGAAAAGACATACGGAACTATTATTTAAATTTGTTGAGAAATATTCTATTACATTTTGTTTAAAAACAAGTGTTTTAAACGCCTTTAAAACATCATTGTTTTAAACATTTTTTGTTTCTCCAAAAAAATCCTTTATGGGTATTTCGCCACTGCACTGCAAGAAAATCTACAAAATAAAATAGTTATTTTTTGTAAACACTTCTACGTTAAACCTAAACGGACGCTGCTTGTCGGAAGTTATGTTTACAGTAATACAAATTTGCCTAACAAAGAAAAAAATTCTAACGTTTCGAAAAGTTATCCCTTTCCGTCGTCGGAAGCAAAAAAAAACTATTTAAAATATTTAAATTCAACTATTCGAACTATTCATTTTTTGTTAATTTGTTAAGAAAAATACTCTTTATTTCCCCTGTTTAATAAAAAATAATTCAAGAAGCAATCTATTATTAAATGAATTTATCACCACCATATACAGTCCTGGGCACTTTAGCTCCGTGGTCTGTATTTTAACGCATGCGTCAGAGATAAATATAACGGTTGACAGACAGAGAGACAAAATAAAAAGCGGCATGCAGTGTTGCCGGTTGTACACGTCTCTTTCTTAATCCATTAGAATATTTAGTATGAAGCAATCGTCTTCTATCGTAAATCGGACTATACATCTGTACCCTAGAAGCAAACTATGTATGTAAAGTCCAAAATTGGCACATTTGAGTCACTCTAAAAAAAGGTGGTGTAATTTATTTTAAAAACTGTTTTACATCTCATTTAAGTTCAAACTAATTTAGTCATATACCAAATATTACATTCATAGGTTTAAAAATAACCGAGTAATTAGAAAATAATTTTTTTTTAATATAGTTTGCTTCTAGGGTACAGACATAGTTTTACAAATGAGGCAGCTATTTAAACTTAATATTATTTATTATTTTTAATATATTAGAACTGTTAAACCAATAATTTCTTGAAAAATACCTTTCAATAAACGAATATGTCACAAAGGTATATATGTTACGGTTAAGGTCCGATGTCCGGTTAATGACGACATTACCCGGTTAATCTCCAGAATAACACAACAAAACAACCAGAAACATAACCTAACCCAAACATTAACGTGTTAATGTCGACATTAACCGGGGACATCGGACTTTAACCGTAACGTATACATTATTAACAGTATTTCATGCTTTGTCTTTTTACTTATTATTTATGTTCTACTTTGACGTACTGACAGAATGATTGTATATTTATGGCGTAATCATTTTGGTAATATTTTCCTGGAAGAACTTTATTAATTTGTTTATACGACAAGACCACAGCCTAATCATTACCCAGCCAGTCGACTTAACAATCATTTACACGGAACTCTACGTACTTACCTAGATATTTGTCTAGATATCTTATATAACAAGTCGGATGGTGCTGGTGACTACCTGCATGTGTACGTGAAGTCGACTGGCTGCCCAATGAATAAGCTGTGACCAGACAATCATCCAAATTGAAATGTCATAGTCAAGAAGTGACGTATGTTCTGTTTGATATTATTTACGCCTGCTATAAATATAATTTTTATTATATGTTTTAAAAATCGCCCGTAGAGGGTACAAATATACAGGGTAAATCAGAGTTTATTGTCATAATTTCAATTTAATACGAAAGACAGTACACTAAAGTATATTTTTTGTAAATCATAGTACTTTTGACTTTTTCAGATACTTATTTTTAAATTATATATTTTCAAAAGTTTGTGAATAATTTTGTATTTTTAAATATTTATAATCTTTATTTTCAATTTTTTTAGGTATATGTAACAGGCGTAAATAAAATTCGAATAAAATATAGTTTTGTGTCATTCAACATTACCTAATAAAATGCCATAAGATCGAAGAAAAAACGCGTCAGAGTTGGCTTGGAAATGTTCGCTATCATTTTATATGTAAAATTGTATGGCTATTTTGAACGATCGTTATTTTTAAGCTAACTTGACACAGTTTTTTTTTCGATCATACTGTATTTAGAACTGTATTATTACGATTGAACTGTACTCAACTGGTGGTACTAAATTTATTTGTATATTTTATCACTTATTACAGTTGAGGGTTGGAACCTTTGGTGTTAAACAGCAAAATAAAAACACTAAATCACCACAATACACCAAAACACTTTTACTTTTACACTGGACGCGCGTTTCGCTAACCATGTAGTTTATAATCATCTGCTGATGATGCTAACATGGTTAGCGAAACGCGCGTCCAGTGTAAAAGTAAAAGTG